AAAGCTGCTAGGAAAGAGTGCAACTCCTGATAACCAGTTACTACTCAACTGCCTGTAGATTTGGATGAAAAATATGAGAGGGGTGAGTTACACAAACTGAGTGAGGTCATTAGATGAATTATACCTTTACCTTTTTAACTCCTTTATAACAAGCCATGATGTTGAACTCATTATTCTTAAAAGTTATTTCACCCTTTTCTGATGCTTATTTGAAGTATTGTTTACATTTTATTATTTGTGGATAAGTAATATCTATGATTGCATTTGTAGGATTCACTCACTGCCATTAGAGGAGGTCGTATTCCTCCTCCAGGAAGCATGCCATCTTTTGAAGAAATTAAGGATATCTTAGGTTTCAATGCGTACTATGAAGAAGAGAAGCGTTATGCTACAAGTACCAATCAGCAGCTTTCGAAGAGTGGTAGGATAGACAGATCTTAACTCATAAATAAGTAAATAGTAACCCACCTATAAAGAGACATTGTTGCGTAATGGCAGTAGTTTTCTCAAAATCATATGCAATCTATGCCTACTTTTGTCTTCTTGTTAGCTGCCAATTCATTATCTTTAACAAATTAATTCTTAATGGTTGACTTCAACACTTTACTTTCATAAACATGTGTTGGGCTTGGGAGGGGTTGGTTGATGATGAATAATAACCTTATCATATGAATTCAACAGCACGTGGAGAGAAGCTTTTGAGCTCTATTAAGGTCTATTAATGTGAAATGGATATGTTCAACACTGAATATCAAGTTAAATATTGCTTTAGTGTTTTATCAAAAGATAAAGAAAAGCAATCTAATTAATCATAGATGGCAATGACTTTGGGTTCTGTTACCGTCAATGTAATTCCGATGGATTATAAAAAGATAGTCATGACTCAAGATTAAATTAGACATCTATCTTTTCATCTGGGATTTTCTATGTTTTCTATGTTTCAGCTCTAGGGGAGAATCAAAGACACAAGTAAAGGCCTCATGTTGATATTCACATTGTAAATTGTGCATTTCATTCTTGCATTCTCATAGTAATTAGTTATTTGTCAGATATCAGTAGCCTATACAGTTTGCAACGGAGAGACCAAGTTGATAGAGAGCAGACAAGTCAAAGTTTCAAAGATCCTGTTGTGGAAGTTATAACACCTGATGATGTGTACAATAAATATGGTGCAGATAGTTCAAGGAACCCTTTTTCTGGTATCTGGTCTCGCACCCTGAGAGTAAAAATAACTGGCAGAGATGGATTTGAGAAACTCGATCTTAGGATTCCTGTAAGTGATCACAACTTTCAGGTGCACTGAAAAGCAAAAATAATTTATTTGTATTATCTGGTCAAACCTCATGAACTCCTCTAGTCTAATTGAACGATTAGTCTTGAGAAGCAGAACTATCAGATATATTGAATTCAAGTTAATAATTGAACTAATCCATTTGGAGGATGTCCCAGTTTCCTGAATTAAACACCTTTCCTCCATCACTTTGTGTTTGCCCTTCTTGCCTGTTATTTGGAAAAAGAAAAAGAGACACGGAATGTACACATGATATTTGTTTTGTGAATGCCAATCTGCAACTTGTTTCTTTTGTACTGCATTCCCAAGCTGCGGTTATGCATATTTTCTCTGGGGTAACCCCTCCCTTTGTTAATCAGTTATTCATCTTTAAATTATGTGTATGTTCAGTTGAATATTGCTCCAATTAAGATTTCGTGTTTCCTTTTCTTATAATACATGTAATTTGTTATATACAGGCTGGATTTCTGGATGGAATTACAAACATAGTTCCTGGTAATATTACTAAACAGAAATCATTATAGTGTATAAATAGATGTCTATTCCAAATTTGTGACTCAAGGTTTCTTTTTCACAATTTCTGTTGGTTAATTTTGTCATAACTCTACAGCTTTGGGTGGCGTAAACATCAAAGAACTGTTGGATGATGCAACTGAGGAAGTTGGGGGAAAACTCTTGTTAGACTTTCAAGACAGGATGGGTGACAGGATTCAAGTATTTCTGGAGTGATTCCACATTACTTTTCTCAAGTCCAACGGTAACTTGTTCTGGAATACTGTTGTTTTATTTGAGATAAAAGTACGTTACAGAGAGATTGGAGAATAATAGATCCTACTAAAAAGGAAATCAAACTAAAGATAAAAAAAATCAGTCGAGCAAAGATACTCACTCCCTAAACATAAATATATGTTAAGGGGAACCTTTTAAAAAGTTCACGAGCTTTACACCAACTAGAAGCCAAATGCCGTATCCTACAGAAGCTGCTCACTCAGATCACTTTAAAGACATGAGAATCATACTCCAACCATATATATGATCAGTTACTGAGCGAATGAAAAGATTTAAAAGTGTTACCTTTTCCTACTAGTAGGTTTTCTGAAACCTATTATGCAATGCTAATAAATCATCTAGTTCAGTTTTGTGCTTCTGATATCTATTGACACAGTGGAATCTTTATTTTGGCCATGAATCGATATAGCAGATCAGAAAAGATAAATCCTCTATTCATATTTCTTATTGACCCACTATCCAACAACTTCCCTTACCATAAATTTTTACATTCATCTCTTAGAGATTTTCTTCTATATTGTACATTGATATAATGCTTGAAAAAGCAGAATCCAACAAGAAAACTAGATTGGCGCTTCCTGGTTACTATTGCATTTTCCAATTTTTAATTTCTTTTCTCCCTTTTACTGTGGTACCAATTAAAAATATATTTGTTCTCTGTAAAGAAATAAAAAAAATTCAGGCTGCGTGTGGATAATATATAGTTTTTTGTTCTTTTGCTTCCTATGTTTTTTGTTTATTCTCGTCTTTGGCATAACATAAAGAATTTAACAAATAGAAGGATTCATGATTGTCTTTTCTTTCATGTTTAAGTAATTCCGAATTTATGAATTGTATTATATGACAATTGGCCATCATAATTATTTTACTTTCAAATTTCTTTACTTTAGTGGTATAGTAATAATATTTAGTTGTTTAGATTTTTGTGCACAAATTTAACTGTTATTTATATTCAAGTACAATGTTGGAATAAGTTGGCTTGTTTAATCGCATTTCTGAACAACCATTAACTATTGGGATGCCATACCCTAATCTAAAGTAGGGAGTTTGAGGCCAGTAGTGATGGGATGAAGGAATTTCCTACAGTAACATGTGAGGAACAGTTGGATGAGAAAGCTTTGTTTCTTACATTCGTTGATGATGATGTTCCAGGAAGTTGATGGTTCATATTGATGAAGGTGATAACATGAAGCTAAGGGTTAAACCCACAACAGCATGGTGGTTGTTCCAAAGGGCGGAAGCCGGACGTGGTACAAACATGGTCCTTTTTGTTCGTGTCGTCGGGAACTGGTAGTTTAAAATATCACATGGATTTATTATCCAAATACTGTAAAAAAAAAAAAAAAAGTTGTTACAACTATAGTCAGAAATGGGAAATTTCTTGAAAAATAATATTTCAATATTAGTGGTAATTTTGCCCCTTGTTAACCCATTTTTATATTTCTTTGTTCTGGTAGGGAGAAAATTTTTCATGCTTATGTGTTGAAACTCCCAGTATCATGCAAAACGTCATGTATATGGCTAGCTATTTACACTTACACCGACTACTTTCACTCCACCTAATACCAAAAATTCTGATAAATGCCATAAGATTGGATTCCCATTATAATAAATTATATTTGACTGACCTTAAATTTTCAAAACGCAGTTACGTAATTGAAGCATAGTATCGACGCCTATTATACAAACTTGGTGTTAAATAATTTTGAAAAAGGAGATCAAAGTTGAAATTTGGTAAAAGGAAATGTCGGACACAAGATTCTGGTGTCAACACGAAAAGCATGGCATCGGATTCGTCACCCGAAGTCCAGTGTCCAATATCTAAAGCAATTAAAGCAAACAATATGACGAATGTCCAACACCAAAAGCATGGTGTCAACACCATTCACCTAAAGCAACAAGAATCAGATAACTTTAAACGAAAGTATACAGCACCTAATGCATGTATGCACTCTGCATCTTATTTTACGTGACTTGTTAATGTTTCCTTTTAGCAAAGCTTGATTTCCTGTGAGCATACTGGCATTCAGATTATCCAAATGAATATATGCTTAAATGGGTCTAATAGAGAATATTAAGAAAAACACTAGGAAGCCACTAACAAACTCGGGTAGTTAAGAACACTCGCACTCACGGAGATGGATTCCGCTACAGTGTCCAGTAGACTTTAGTTACAGTTGGGTTAAAAGCACTCTAAAATAGGAAAAGGTATAACACTATTTAACAGGGTCAAAAGCGGCATAATTCAGAGTTCAGCAATAAATTAAAAAGCTTAAAAGAAAAACCGTTGAACCTGACAAACATAAAAGTACCATGGAAAAAATATATTAATATCAAACCACCTGTCGGTGTTCAAAAAATGAGGAACAAGCAAAATAAAGCAATAACCCAAGTAAGGTTATTCTATCCAGTCACTGGTACACGACATTGATGCTCAAAGCACCTATAGAAGGAGGGTGACCCGAAAAAGAATGGTAACAGCATATTTATAACAAGATTACACATACATCACACTGGATCACTTTACAGAAAATTGCATCTTTAACGATGTAGACTACTAATAGTAGCACTGGTATTGGCCTTTCTTTTTCTCAACTTGTAGCAAAACAATCAGTAATAATTCACCTTGCTATCCAAGGCAGTGTTCAATCTCATCGGTAGCCACCATATGGCTGTTGACCATAACTACCTAGACCCATCATGGAGTTGTTATAATTACCTGGCATGTTGGAACCAGGCGGCATTCCAGTTGGGGGTTGCATTTGGTATCCTTGTCCCATACTCATTCCTCCCATCCCACCCATTCCCATACCCATACCCATACCCATTGATGGATTCATACCTCCATAGCCTCCCATACCCATACCAACACCAGGACCATTACCCATACCCATACCAACACCTGGACCATTGCCCATACCCATACCCATACCCATTCCCATACCAGAACCCATCATCGTGTTTTGAGGAGGCCTGAGAGAACCAGCACCGGTCCGACCCATACCTGAGCCGGATCCCATAGCTTTACCCATAGTTATAGTTGATGTTACTGCTTGGGTAGTGGGCTTCTCCATTCTCTTTTCCTTCCTATTAATGGCATCAAAGTCCACCCCAATATCTGCTAATGGATTTGTTTTAGCTGCATAAAAAAAAAAGTACTTGTTAAAAATTTGTCCATATAAGATCATCATTCTAACTAAAGTATGCTGTAGAAACTGAAATGCTACAAACAGCTGAGTTTGAGGAGATCTAAGCACTCACGTCCGGATATATTCAAATTAACAAGTCCCCTACTCAGAGTATCCGCCCAAACTGTTGATTTTGTGTCAAACTTGTCCTTGGATGGTTGAGAAACTAAAGCAGTTGTTCCTGTTGAAACAGCATACGGTGAAGCATTAGAAGCGAGTGATTGATTGGTAATTGGTGAGTTGAAGGGGGCTCCATTCCCTTGTCCCATAAAGCTCTGACTGTTAAACTGTGATGGTTGATGTGTTGGAGAGGGAGAAGACATATGATGGGGAAAGTTGGAGCCCTGTGACAACTGCCCTGTTGGAGCTTGGGGAGCCATGTGTGAAGCAAAAGCTGCCGTAGATCCTTGGGGCAGGAAGTTCCCACTGTTCATATGCCCATTATATCCATTTTGGGATTGAGGAGACATGGTTGAAGCTCCTGAAGTAAGAGATCCATCCTGGGAGTGAAATCCACCATACATACCAGGTTGTGCAGGTTGGCCACCTTGAGAAGCAAAAGGTGATTGGGCAGGTTGGCCACCTTGAGAAGCAAAAGGTGATTGGGCAGGTTGGCCACCTTGAGAAGCAAAAGGTGATTGGGCAGGTTGGCCACCTTGAGAAGCAAAAGGTGATTGGGCAGGTTGGCCACCTTGAGAAGCAAAAGGTGATTGGGCAGGTTGGCCACCTTGAGAAGCAAAAGGTGATTGGGCAGGTTGGCCACCTTGAGAAGCAAAAGGTGATTGGGCAGGTTGGCCACCTTGAGAAGCAAAAGGTGATTGGGCAGGTTGGCCACCTTGAGAAGCAAAAGGTGATTGGGCAGGTTGGCCACCTTGAGAAGCAAAAGGTGATTGGGCAGGTTGGCCACCTTGAGAAGCAAAAGGTGATTGCGCAGGTTGGCCACCTTGAGAAGCGAAAGGTGACTGTGCAGGTTGGCCACCTTGAGAAGAGAAAGGTGACTGTACAGGTTGGCCACCTTGAGAAGCAAAAGGTGATTGTGCAGGTTGGCCACCTGGAGAAGCAAAAGGTGACTGCATATGCTGGCTAGTTGGCGATGAAAATGCATGCAAACCAGGTTGACCAGCGTGAGATGAAAAGGGTTGTTGTGCATATTGACTGGTGGGAGATGAAAAGGATGCTTGTACTTGTCCTGGTTGGCCATTAGGAGCAGAAAAGGATTGTTGAGAAAGTTGATCTGTAGGACCTGGAAAGGTTTGTGCAGGTTGACTGGTTGCAGCTGAGAAACCTTTCTGGTTATATTGGCCTGTCTGTTCAGAAAATGGTTGTGAAGCCATTTGACCAGATGAAGCTGGAAAGGAAGGTGAAGATGGATGGGCAAAAGCAGGTGCTGAAATGTTCTGCTGCGAAGTCATCTCAGGCAAGGGTGCAGGAGGAAGAATGTCTGCAAGAATATCTGTTTCCTGCTGCTGCGATGACAAATCTTGAGACAAAAACTGGGAGTTTGTAGAGAAAGGTTGAGTGTCAGAGGCAACAGGTGCAGAGTATGGTACAACAGAAAATGAGTCCCCAAACCCAAAGTTAGAGATCGTTTCTGCATTATGGCCATTTGATTGGGATGGTTCAGTATTCTGATACGCCAGGGGTTGAGCCGGAGCAGTTTCAGCGGAAGTAAAAGCCTTGAACGGCGAGTCACCAAATGGATCTTCAAAAGACTGCCAAAAGTCAAGCCAACAAATATATTATTTTAACAAAGATTAACACAAAGAGGAACTGTTTTATACATGAAGATAAAGATGTATTTAAAAGATTACTCGATGATAAAATCTGAGATAGATATGCCCTTTCTAGAAATAGAAAATAATTTTCAGAATTCTGTCCAATCATTTTGGTCCACAAACAGGGTTAATATAAGCAATATTGTACAATTCTTAAAAACTCTCCCACCTACTAGTTACAGTTACACATGCTAGATAAAAAAGGACAAAGATACAACATAAAGCTGACAACTATAAGAATTTCAAGTCAAGTACAAATCCGTTCTTTTTAGTACAATGTCAAAACATAGAGAGAAAAGAGGTCAAAACTTCTTTTCACTAAAAAAGTAAAAGCAATGGAACAAATTCCTACCTGATTGAAATTATTGGACCCAGATGATGGTGCTTCAAAGGAAGCTGTTGATCCAGCATTTGCAACAGGGGCTGCAGTTGCTGATTCAACTGGTACAAGAGACAATGCATTTGATGAAAATGAGTCTGAGAGGGAACCAAGCAAGTCCACTTCAACGTTATTGGTGGCAGCTGGGGTGGCTGGGACAGCTGGGGCGGCTGGGGCAGCTGAGAAGAAATATAAAGATATCATGAGTAAAGGGCTGAGTAAACATTTTTTTCAAAGAAAGCAGTCTTCGGCATAAATGCAAGCTCTTCAAGACCACTAATGTTATGTTTGTTTAAGCATACTTTTTGGGAAACCATTATTTTTTTAAAAGCTCTCTCAGGTAGCTAACAAGAAAAACAATTATTTCTCCAAAGTAAGCTAGTCCAAACAATTATTTGTAATGAGAGGCATGTAAATCAAATTACAAATGAGGCATATATTAATATTCCAACATTCCAACCCAACAATTAAAATAGCAAACCCCACCTCCACATATGAAATTGAGAGAGGATCAACTGAATAATAATTTGAATTTTCACATGTAAATAAAAGTATATATTAAAAAAAAATCAACTCAAACATGTAAAAATTCTTCAAAAATAGAAACAAGGAAGAGCTGTTACAAGCATACAGATTACAGAAGACCAAGTGACCAAAATAATACTATAAATAAAGACCTGATGAAGGACCACGTGGGTCAAAAAAATCATCAGTTGCCTCAGTTTCCTTAGCTCCAGATGCAGCAGTAGTTGCTTCAGTTGGATTATTGTTTACAGGAGAAGATTCTGTATGAGCAGAGGTTTGACTAGGATTATCATTTACGGGAGAGGGGTCTCTTGGAGCAGATACTGCTGAAGTTTCCACATCTCTGCAATCAAAATAATATAAGTAACAGATTCTGCGGTGAATAAGTGCTGTCTGTAGTATAAAAGTTCATACCTTTCACTGTGTACAGGGCTGCGAGATTCGCCAACAGCTTCTTCATAGCTAGGAGGAGCAGCTGCATTTTGCTCAGATAGTTTCCGCTCAAGCCTGCCCATTTGCATTGTGCATTATCAACCTTAAAAATGCCTACCAGCAAAATGCATACATGTGAGAGAAAAGGTGTATTTCTATGACAAATTTACCTTGCTTCCAGCGATTGGTCTTCAGCTTTAGCATTGCTTCCTCTAAGAGATCATTGCATAAAAAGATTAAGTTAGAAGATGATTCTCATCAGAAATAAATAACATCACATTACTCCCCGTCTTCTCGTGATAAATGGGAAGAAAAACTGAGTAAAAAAGGACTCGCAGCTTCAAGCAAACTTCATTACTGCTACTGAAAGATATAAAACAATAATACTTACATTCTTTGGTTCATTATTAGAGCCCCAAGTAAAAGTTTAGTTCCCAACTCTCTCTCTAGCATTTGAGTACAAGAATCAAACTAAAGCCATATTTTTATTCTGACAATTAAATAGCCAAGGACAAGCAAATGTAGAGCTTTTTTGAATCATTCATAAATTCTTATGCATAAGAAGATAAGACTTCATTCCATTATCTATATCACCAGTTTCAAAATCACATGCCATTTTTTTTACCACTGTAAAATATAGTACTTCTATACACCTTACTCTTTCAATGACAGTTATTGGAAATGCTACAAGTAAGATCCCCAATTCACAAATTAATAACCAAGTCAAGTTTCAAATATAATCAAACATTCTTAAAGGTCTGTCTTCATTGGTAATTAGAGTTTGCAACTGAACAGTAAACTATTTAATGATTTAAATTAAAAGCAACAAATTTAAGCAAGATGGAACAGCATAAGAATAAGAACAACAACAAATTACTCAATCTATATTTTACATTTTAAACTAATTAGAACAAAGATCAAAACCACATAGGTCTTAATAGTTTAGGTTCTCCACAACATCTGCCAAAATTTCAAACTGAAAAACTTGAAAATGTAGACCTGTTTTCTCACTGAAAATTATTAGTCACTAATGAACAACCTACAATTTATCAACTTGAAGCAATAACGTCAAAACAAACATGATGAGTGAGGACAAGAAGATCATGCTGCCAGAACTAAACAAACTTCTAGACCTAAATATTAAACAAAGGATCATGCTTGATGCCCAAGATACATGTGCATTTCAAGTAACAAATTAGGGTAAAAACCTTAACACTACATTAGACACTTACTGTATAAAAGGAGGTTGACACTACATGTGCATTTTATCTTTTTCAGAATTTGTAGATAAAATAATAATTAATTACAGGTATTATATCATATAAGTTCATACCGAGATGAGTGTTGTCCATCATCATCATAACGATCTCTATCAGAGCTCCTGCTTCTTGACTCCTGTTGGTAATCAACACTTCTACTTCTTCCCCTATAGTCATCATCTCTGTAACCATCCCTGCCATAACGTTCTTCATAATCTCTGCCATAACGATCTCCATCACGACTATTGCGATCATCATCTCTATAACCCCATTCTTTTTCTCTTCCATAACCATAGCCATTTCTATCTTCCTCTCTGCTCCCATAACGATCATCATCATATCTGTCACCATAGGCTCCACTACTTGAATAAGAACCAGGTCTATACATTCCACCTGGTGCATTGTTGCGAAACCTGGTGAATCATATAAGACAGTTAACATCATCTAGAGATTCAGATACCCACCCATACATACACACAAATCTCACATACTCTACTATCTATTTTAGATCTATAATCCAGGAACCCAAAAGACATACAGATTATTATATTCTAAATCTCAGGAAATTTAAAAGAAAATATCTACTAATGCAATGTCTTATGCTTGTTAACACAAGGGGGTATATATAAAATTTATGTTGCAACTGGAAAATAACAAATTACAAATATCAATGAATTATCCGGAGGAGACTTACTTGTCCCTGTTAGCAGAAGCCTTCTGCCTTGCTTCTATGATTCTTTCTTTATCATTCACAAGGACAACCAGACTTTGAGATTTCTTCCTGACATTGTTTCCTTGATCTCTTCCACTGGAATCAATATATTGAAAATCGGACAATGTCTGTTCATATGATGATTACAATGTTATCAGATCACATTATAAATTTTAGATCATCTCAACAAAACTAGGGACCTGCATGGAAATTAACTAAGTAAATCAATTTTAAGCAGGGTTCTAAATGGGCATTACTGATATTTGATAAGCATGTTCTCTGATCTCATCTATGACTCGCTCTGACCCATGAGCCACCAAGTACTCTAGTACTGTCAAAGCCTGTTGTTGAACAAATAGCAGTTAATATAGAAACACATTATTTAAGAAAGTAAGATCAACAATAAATGCAAAAGACAAAAAAAAAAAAAGAAGTATTTCTTAATGTACAAGAACCCATCATTATTGAAAAGGATATAAACAAGTTTTAAGGCACAATTCACAAATTGGTACTTGTAGTTTGATGGTGACAGCTAAAAATAAACAAGATTAGCAGCGTCTGCTATCTAAAACATAAAATAGTTTGGTCAAAACCTTGTAGACGTGCCGCCAGTTCTTGCCTGTGTCATTAATTCGCTTCCAGATTACTGCCATGATCATCTGGTATTCATGACTGCAAGAGTACTTAAAAATGAGTCTCTATGTAGTAAAGTACACAATGTGTCAAGCATACAATTAAGAGTCCAAGCTTACGGGTTTCTGGTTGCCTGTGCAATATCTGCAAGAAGAGTTCCATGAGGACCCCATGGTTCATTGCTGGTAGCATCAAGAACCTAGAAGAGGGGAGAGGAAACATTGAATCTAATTTAGATTTTGCAAAATAAGACCATAATACATAATTCAAGGATAGTCATCATATATTCCATGAACAAGCATTGCATAAAAATAAGTCAGACTTTGCACGAATCATTACAACAATTAGCCATAGTTTCATAGCAAACTTTAAAAAGAATTACCTTCTGTTCAATCCCAGGAACTTTCAGCACTTTCTTATTTACTTCTCTTTTACTGCAAGAATACAAATGAAGAGTACGACATTTAGAAGATACAATTGGCCTTTAAAATAGATATAAACACCAAAGATAGCAATTGTATTTGTATACGTGACACATCAAATCATGTGTTAATAAACAAATAATAAACAGTTATACTTACAGGTCCCTAACAGTTTGGCCAATAACCTTCTTCATTGTAACCGGTTTTCCACTACAAGCTACAAACCAGCACCAACGGCCCTAACTGCAATGCACAAATTAAATAAGGCTCACGTCAAAAAAATTTCACGCATTGATTCAATAAAAGCCATAAAGTTTCTCAACAATATAATGGTTACTTGAATTCCAAAAGGATATTTTCAAGCATCATTCTCTGATTGTTGTAGTGCAAATACACCAGTTTACATTAATTTTCAGAAAATGTCAGCTAGTCAGAGACTTTATATATTTATCAAATAAGCCAGCGAGCCAGAAGTAATAAGCAAACATCAATGTCTACAATCGGCGCGTTACAGCAACAAACATGAATAAAGCCATATCATAACCTTGACTCTCAACGAATATCCAAAAATTCAAAGGCAGTTATATAAGATCACACAGAAAACTTAAGCACAACAACAAAGGAATCCAAAAATAAGTCCAAGCCAAACACGATTTTTCCGAGATCAATCATAATTCTGAAACGTCAATAAGAACAGGCAGATAGCATCATTTTCCTGCATCACATCTCAAATCTCATCAAACTACAAACAATCAAAAAGTGCACCGTAACGCATTGAACGAAACTCTCTCATTGAAATCGCATAAAATAACCAGAAGATCCAAAAAAAACATCCGACCAAAGCCGAATCCGAAAGAACATAAATAAAAACCAACAGATGCATGAGAGCTAAATCAAATCCAAATCTAGCGATTCCGATAAAAATCCTCCACAAAACATTGGCGAGCTAGGAAAAAACAAACAGATTAGGAAGAAATAAAGACAGAGACGTTATGAAGCACAGCAATGCGGAAAATGAAAGAAGAAAATGAGATCGAAGAAAATCGAATCCAGATCTGGGAGAGGGAACCTGATCCAAAGGAGGAAATTCGTCGGCAGAGAGGTGAAACGAAAGGCCAACTTTAGAGAGAGAGAGAGAGAGAGAGAGAGAGATTGCAAAATTGCAAGAACTCTCTGAGTTGTTATGTCCCAAAGAAGAATAATAATAATATTACGTTGCGACAGAGAAACACACAAACACAAACCCACTCTCTTCTCTCTCTCTCTCTCTCTCTACAATTTCGGAGTTAATCTTAAACGGAAGCAAAAAGGACGAGCAAGACAGCGCAACTTACACGCGGGGAAGAATTCAGGAGCATTTACCTTTTTTGTTTTTTATTTTATTTTATGTAAATTAATAATTACAGCTAAAATAATATATTTCTTTTTTATTGGCTATGCTTTATTATTATTCGGCATTAAAATTTGAATATTGGTATCTACTTTTGAAAAAAAAGTATATGGGTAATAATAATGATGTGAGTGTAGGGGGCATTCGGGAAGGTGGATGCTGAATGGCTTCGACTCCTTGTCTCTGTTGACACTAATGTCCCAACTTATATCTTACTATTATTTCTTGCTTCATCAATTATGCTGTCTTTCTATTTTTTATTTTTTATTTTTATATAATTGAGACATATATCTATTTTAAGAGTAAAAATATACTTGTATGTAAAATTAAACTAATTATACTAATAATTTTTAATTTTTTTTTTTTTACTTTACCTTGTTGATTTTGTCAAAATAATTAGGCGTACGTGTTCAAAGCAAGCCAGCTTGTTGACACTTGACACTAAAGAAAATTTCTTTGTGAAAAACTCAAGCATCTTCTCCATGGAAGTATTCTAATTGATATTGAATTTGAATTTTTTGGATACCAACTTGATTAAATAATTAAAAGAAAAATTTTATGATCCATAATAAACTTAATCATATCGACTCAAAAACAAACTTTATTTGACTGAAATAAATTCTCTTATAATAATAATATAAAAATAAATATTGGCGAAGTATGCTAATTTTGACCCTTAAATTTGTTATTAGGAACTCAGATGAGCTATGAGGTCAAAATTATTAAATAGCTTATAGCAGTGCTCTGTTTTACGCACCGAACTAGTGTTTTGACGTTTCTAGAAACAGTTGATATGAACATGAATATGTGTTTTCTTCATAGAATACTAGAGTAAATATGGTTTAATGATGCACCATCGTTTATTTCACCAGGAAAAAAATAAACTGTATCATATATTTGTTACATGTATAAAGAATGCGAATAAATTTGGGTTAATCCTAATCTAATAAAAGAAATTCGCAAATTGGCATAAAAGTTGGAATTGTATAACTTTTTTGATACCACCGCCAAAACAGGCAGAGAATAAGAATTTAGGAAAACAATAATAATAATAATAATAATAATAATAATAATAATAATAATAATAGTCACTATTTAAAATGTAAAGAATAGCGGATGACAGCGTACGTACACGTTTACCAACAACTGGTTCAAGTTCAATCGATCTTTGTGGCTGAAATGCAGAAGTGATTGCAGAGTTTCTTTCTTTTGGAGTTTTGTTACTATTGCATTTTTTTTATTATCGTAAGATTTTTTAATAAATATTTATGAAATCATGTTAAGAATTTATTGTTATAAATAATTGATGTAATTACAAATAACACCCCTGAAATTTATTGTAATTACGCATGCACCTCCTCCATTTGAAAACATTACTTTGGTACCCTACTCTACTATTGTTAGTTGTCCATCTACTTTTTTTAATTATTTTTTGTTTGGCGATTACATATATATATTAAAGCTATTACATATGTACACCCTAACATTACGAGGTTTACACATGTACCTCCTAAACATAACACCCATATAATGTCTCACTTCTTCGCATGAATGTTAATGGGAATTTATTGAAAAGAACGGTTCAAATTCAAATGCATGGCAACATATTAACAAAATAAAACACAAAAACCATTTGTGAAACTCAATCTAAACAATTAACGAAATTCACTTAAACAACTAAATGGGTTTAAACATTCTTCACGAATAATGTGTATATAATTCCTTCTGGATTATTTTGACGGTGCCAAATTTTAAATGAAGGAAATAAAGATAATTTTGTTCTTGAATTTCATTAAAAACCACGTGAGTAAAAAAATAAACGGAATTAACTAAGTTTGTATGGGAGAAAGTGTATATATAACGAGTTAAAAAAAGTTAAAGTATTTTGTATAATATTAAATATAAGATCAAGTCTTTCAGATAATATCTAAATTGAATTCTTGATAAAAATAGTTCTTAATTAAATTTTATTTATCTTCGATCGAGTTACATTAATTTAAGACGAATTTTTAGAATATTGTTGCGAAAGAAAAAAAAGTAGAGAATACATATATAATATTAACAAATTTTAAGAGATATTAATGTAATTTACTCTAAATAATTTATCGGATGAATTAATATAAAGTGATAAATTATCATTTACTTCCTTAAAGAGTATACTCGCTTGAAGTTTCATAAAATTATACACATTATTTTATCTTATAATAATTTATAATTTTTTACAACAATAATCTCTTAATTGTTTAAAAAGCATTAAACATTCATTATTTAGGCATTACATTAACCTTTTAATTAATTCAATAAAAAAATTATTTAAAAAATCATATTACATTGTAACTCCAAAACTTACTATAAACATTATAAAAAAAATGATCATGTATTTTATAAAATTTTATAATTTCTCTTAACTTTTTTATCCGCTCGTCCCTTATTCCACTTATTCTTTAACCTTAAATTAAAATAAAATCATTAATTTAGTTTTGTTAAAGTCGATATTAGCTATTTTTTTCTCTGATATTATTTAACCTCCTTATTTTTAACTCAAGTGAAATTACTAATTTTGTTTTTCATTAATGCGTAAATATTAGTTACAAGAAATTATGATTATAATAATTTATCTAAATATCTAAATAATACAAAAAAAAACCACAATTATTTATTTTTTTCTATATCGTATTCAGGGATGTAGTCATGTAGAATAAACTTATATAGAAGGTAGGTATTTTCTAGAATAATTTCAAATTTGATATAGAAAGGTAATTTTTAGATTAATTGAGAGTCAATTAGAAAATGTCCAATATTTACATCAATTGAGGTGAGAACCAATTTAGAAAAATAATTTTTTTAGAAAATAATTTTTGGTACTACTACCAGGTTTTTTTTTTATATAAAAAAAAAACAGTACCGAAATAAATAATTTCCCTTAATAAATGACATAACATAATTACACCTTTAAAGATAATTGTTACACTTTGCCAGCCAATTCCACAATATAAATATATTTTATATACATTCATTCACATAAAAAAAAATACATTCAAGGCTATATATTTTCATTTACACAACTATTTTCAAAGCTATACATTTGTTTTAAAATAGTTAATAATTGAACACAACAATTAATTATTTAAAATTAGTTAGTATGTCTTTCTATATTGGTTTTACTTAGAGATATCTGAAATTACAGTAACTTATATACTTTGAGAAAAAATACGAACTAGATTTAGGGGATATGCAAATTATTAAGTTCCATTTTTACGTCAAAGTATATTGACAACTTTATGGCAAACAACACAAGGAATATAATTAAATGAATTTTACAATAATTTGAATGCAATCATACATGATCGAATATATTAATCTACAAAGAAACAAATAAAAAAGAGATCTTGCTAAAAGTAGATTGCATCGCCATCAACATTTCAAATCTTGCTTTCTCATTTTGATTTGTTTCTCACTTGAACTTAATAAGCACATGATGTATACAAGATGGCCACGAAATAAATAGAAGCAGCCTCATTCGAATCATGAAGATTGTAGCTTAAAGACGATGCATTCATATTCTTATTCAATGAACTTGGACAACAATTTGATGCTTAACTCTACTCAAAATGAAACTTAGCTTTATTCCACAATGAATACTAGAACCTGAAATAAAAGAAAAGTTTTCAATACTCAAAGATTTATAAATGTACATCAAATAGGTATTAATCAATTTTAGGATTAATACCTTACATGACTTATCGTGGATGCATAATTCAAAGCTTACTTATTCCACAACCACAAAAAATGACTTGTTTGTCAGTGGAGGATGGTAACCCTTCATAAAAATCCATACTAATCGCATCCCTGACCTTAGAAGGAATAGGTAAAGGTTGCAAGAGTCCAAGATATGCTGTCAAATTTGGATTGCATCTCTTTGACACACATCACACTTGCTAACATAGTGCTGAATATCTTTAGACATACCCTTCCAATATTAAAGAGATTTCACCCTTACTACAGTAACTTCTTTTATTGAGTGTCCACCAAAAGGAGAGTCGTGTAACCAATTGAAAATCAATAACTTCAATTTTTGGTCAGCCCCATGACAAGCTTTCCCTATCGTCTTAGTCACCCCTATGACAAGTGAATTTGGGGTGAGAATGGGCATCTTGTTGTAACTCAAAAACCAACTTCTGCACACTTAAATTTGCACTCCAAGAAGCTTTGATTTTCTCTAACTACCCTGTTTGAGCATTATCTAACAACATTGGCAACAACTCAACCCCAATATTTCTAAACAAGGCATCAACAACTACATTTGCAACACCTTCTTTACATTGAATCCCAAACTCAAACCCCATTAGTTTAGACATCCAAACTTGTTGGAATGGGGTATTAAGCCTCGACTCCAAAAGGAATTTGATGCTTTTCTAGTCAGTTTTAATGATGAAAGGTCCCTACAATAAATGAGCTCCCCATTTTTGGATTGCATACACAATGGCTAACAATTCCATTTTGCTCATGTAAGCTATAGGATGTTTATCCTGCATCAAAATTACCCTAATACCTTTTGTAGAAGCATCAGTCTCAACCATAAAGGTTTTGGAGAAATTGGGGAGAGCTAGTACAGGTGTTGTGATGAGAGCTTGTTTCAAACTATGAAATGCAGTAATAGAATTCTCATTCCAACCAAAGTTATTCTTTTTCAACATGTCTGTCAAGGGTTTTGCAATTTTGCCAAAGTCCCTCACAAATCTCTGATAATATCCCACTAATTCCAAAAAACCTCTCAATATTAGTAGTCAATGGCCAATCACGGACTGCTTGAATCTTGGAAGGATGGACACCCCCACTCGAGTGATAAATCGACCAAGATACTCAACCTTGGTAGTAGCAAAACAATAATTCTCCTTCTTGAGATAAAGGTGTTCATTTATGAGGAGTTGGAAAACAAACTCTAGAGGAATCACATGATCTCCAATTGTGGAACTGTAAATTATTAAAACATCATTAAAAAAATGATAACAAACTTTCTTTAAGAATGGATGAAAAATGTGATTCATTAAGGACCGAAAAGAAACATGTACGCATTAGTGAACTCAAAAGGTATCACAAAATGCTCAAAATGGCTCACATGAGTCTTGAATGCAGTTTTGTGGTCCTTTCCTCCTTCCATAATTGATTGATGATAGTTAGACTGAAGTCTAGTTTTGAAAAATAGTGGAGTCACCTAATTCATCCATTAGATCTTCAATAAGAGGAATGAAAACCTGTCATTGATAATATGTTGGTTGAGCCTTCTATAATCAACACACAATCTAATTTACACCCCAAATTTTTTGTTACATCTGTTGGGATTCATCCCAAGTCCCACATCGGTAAAATGAAGGAACATTGGCTAGTTTATAAGTGTCCACCATTCCACATAGTATGAGGCCTTTTGGGAAGGAGCCCAAAAACAAAATCGTGCGGGCTTGGGCCCAAAGCGGACAATATCATACTATGATGGTGGAACAGGTGGACTATCGGGCGAACAACATCCAAATCTTGGAAATGATGTGTACTTGTGTGTACTTCCACTATCCAACAAAATATGTAGTTGTTTTTTACTGTGCATCCCAATAACTGTCATGGGTCTTGTCACTTTCCTCCATGTAAGGATTGTTATTGTTGTTAGTTGAAAGGCCCTCGCTACAGTCAAGCATTGAGCATGTTTTTTGTCGATTTTCTTCTCCAAGTTGGCAATGATGGTCATTTGGCTGAGGATAGAGTTGGCCATAGGCAAAGCACCAAGTCGAAGCTCGTGGTACCAATTGTGATAGTTTGAATTTTTAGCGAGGAATCGGGTAAAAATCCTAAACTCAAAGCAGAAGCTCCAATGGAAGAATATAGCTCGATGCAGAGAGAGCAAATAAGTTGCAGAGAATTGTTAGATGGGAGAGAAATGAAATGTAGCACATAAAAGAAAATATGATAAACTATAACAATAAGTAATTACTTTAACAAATTAATATAGCACAGAAAAAAATATATACCGTTAATTCCTTCCAAAAAAAATCTATACCATTAATTCTAGCGTTTATGAGCCAAAATTTCCCAGGAAAAAAACTTCGCAATTTAATAAAGAATTCATATTTGAGGAAACATAAAACATATTTTTGTTTATAGTGTAATCCGATCATATATGCATATATATTAAAATTTTGTTGACTTTTATAATTTTACTTTAAAAGTTTTGCCATTAAAAAGATTGACCACTTGGCAACTGATGAATATTTCAGTTGTGACGATAAACTTTAGTTTCTAAAGGTATATTAGTTATCGAAGTGTGTAATTGAGTTGAATTTGGTTTATTTAATTTAAAACCTAATACGATTAAAAAAATATAGTTTAAGTTGTGTTGAATTCATTATTTTTTAAGTAAATTTTTTATATCCAACTAACATGATTAGTAGAAATATTCTTATATTTTAAATTTTTTTGAAAGAAAAAATCAAACAAATTAAATACAACATGAAATATCAAATAAAAGATGACATTTGGTGGTTAAATCTAAAAAAGGTAAAAGAATGAGAATCCCATTTTAAAAAATAGCTACTAATACATAAATCACATTATAATTATTAATTTATAATTATATATAGTTTGGGCTAAAACTAAAAAAGGGAAAAGAATGAAAATCCCATTTAAAAAAATGAAACTAATAATGAATTATCTCATAACCTACTAATACATAAATCATATTATAATTATTAAATTAATAATATTTGATATAATTTAGATTGGATTAAGTTAATTGGCTTTATTATCAGTTTTTTAAAATTTTAATACCTTGTTAATTATTAATAGCTATGTCAAACTATTAGTTGATTACCAATGTTATTTTAGTTAATTCTCAAATTTTAAATTCTCAAGTTAGAGTATTGAATTTAAAAATAAAAGTTAAAAAAGATAATTTTAATAAAATCAAAGTTTTGAGAGAAACTAATTTTTGGGATAAATACGAGATAGTCTTAATACAATTAAGATTTCAATTTTGACAAAATACATGGATATATGATAGCTTTAATGTAATAAAGGTCTCCAAGAAAAATCTTAATACAATTAAAATTTTAAAAAAGGTTGATGAAGTTAGTAAATATTCACGTTATGTATTACATTGGTTATTAATTATTAATCTAACACATCAATTATTGTTAACTAATAAAGCAATGACGTGATTACTTAGACTGATGACAAAATATATAAATGTTGATCTTGTCATGTTCGTAATGACATGACAATGAAATTAAATTGCATATTTGTTTTTTAAATTTTCTCACATTTCATTAACTAACTTTTTAACTTTGACATGTTTTGCCGGTTAACACCTAATTAATTAATAAAATTGTGTCATATTATATATAAAAATTATTTGTTTATATAACTATATAAGTTTAACATTATTAATATTAAAGTTTTACATAAATATTTATTTTCAATTTTAATTTGCTGATATATATATATAGAGGGGTTATAATAACACCGGTGTAACTTTTACTAAGTGTTATACCGCTTAATAACTTTATATTAAATACGAATTTTGTAAATTCAACCGTTGAATTGAAAGTTAATATATCTTAGATCATATATACAAAATTTTATATTACTCTAAGATGATTTGATATTTCATTTTTATAAAATAAAATTGACGTAATATATTCATTTCAAAATATACTAAAATATGAACACTTTGTCACCTACAAATTGTTGTTCAATTTTTAAAAAATTTGATATACACATATAAAGTGATATGAACTTTCAATCTAACGGTTGGATTTACAAAATTCACATTTAATATAAAATTATTGAGTGGTATAACACTTGGTAAAAATTACACCAGTGTAATTATAATCCCCTCATATATATATATATATATA